TGGGGGCAGTCATGGTTGCCAACAGGAATGCATCAATACACATGGTTCTTACAAATGCAAATGTTTAGCTGGTTTTGAAATCGATCACCTCAATCCCAAGAATTGTAAACCACTCCGGTGCTTTCCAGAATGCTACCCAGGCCGAGGAAGGTGCTTAAATGGAAAATGTGAATGCTTTAGAGGGTTCACAGGTTCATACTGTGAACAAGACATTGATGAATGCATACGAGGAACACATGATTGCGATCATATATGCGTTAACACTCTGGGTTCATACAGATGTGAGTGTAAACAGAATTATACTCTAGATCAGACTTCTATGAAAAAATGCCTAAAGAAAGAATGCTATCCTAAATGTGTGAATAATCAAGGCAGCTGCAACCACGAAGGCTTTTGCATATGTGAATTGGGATTTGTTGGTATTAGTTGTGAGTTAGATATTAATGAATGCATTGAAGGAACTCATAATTGCGAGCAAATTTGCACCAATACAGATGGATCTTTCCTATGCTCATGTGAACCTGGATTTAAAATAAGCCCATTTGACTCTTCAAAGTGCCTCCCAGTAGAATGTCATCCCCCTTGTGTGACAGGTCAGGGTAGCTGTGATAACTCTGGCAAATGTATATGCACGACAGGATTCTTCGGACCCTCCTGTGAGATTTCAGGGAATGTCTGCAAAACAAATCGGCCTTGTGATCAAGAGTGTCGAAACTTGGGAGGAGGTCAGTTTGAATGTAATTGCTGGCCAGGTTTCGAAATGGTGTCTGGTTCATCAACGAAATGTAGGAAAAAGTGTTCTCCCGGAGTCAACTGCATTTATGGGACATGCACTGAGAGTGCTGTGAATATGAGCGATTGCGTTTGCAATCCAGGTTATGAAGGCGAAAAATGTGACCTCGACATTGACGAATGTGAAGGTGACCACGGTTGTCTACAGATCTGTCGTAATTCACCTGGTTCTTACAGTTGCGAGTGTCGACCAGGTTTTATTCTAGAAGCAGACGGGCGTATGTGTTCACAGGAGGGAAGCGCTATTGGGTGTGACGGAGGATGTCTTAATGGAGGGCACTGTCTGCGTAATTACACATGCATCTGTCTACCTGGATATCGTGGCCAACGGTGTGAAGAGCGTATTGACTTATGCAGCGAGCAAAAACCATGTGAACATGAGTGCTATAACCTGGCGGTAAGTCAAAATTTTTTTTTAAAGTAGTATCTTATGGGAGTATTTAGTAAAGGTACCAGCTAACTGGCAAGCCTATTCTGTGCGATTTATCTGAATTCCCAAAAGGATCATGTCACAAATTAATCTCTTATTGGATAGACTCACTATAAATATGCTAAATCAAATTCTAGTCGAACTTATTTGCTAATATGAAATATATTTACCCTATTTCGTTTAAGGTGATGAAGGACTGGTAGTAGAATTTTTCCGCAATGATACGAGTAGAGCTGACGTTTTCATTGAATTTCACATTGCCTTGCTTTCCAAAAAGTTGTTCTCATCCAGGGTGGATTGCAGTTTCGACCTCGAATTGGTATTATCAACGCCCCCAGCGGGAGTGATTTACTGGTAGTCTCGAAACTCTACTGAAATACGAAAAACTTTTTTGTTGTATAGATATTTAGGAGGTTGTGGGAAATTATCGGCTATTTTTCAGTGAATCATGTCAAATATATAGCACAAATATAAATTATATACAGATTGTCAATAAACTTTATATATTTTACAAAAGGCTGGATATGAGGTCTTAAAACAACGGTTGTCTGAAGGAACGTTTTTAATTGATATTGCTCCTCTTTATATCTCAGGGTTTTAATTCTTTGCCGTCTTAAGGAACAGTATCACACCAAGATTGAAGTTGAATATAAAAGTTTAATGGTGTAGACTCTAGAAGTTACGAATATCGACATTTGGTTCGCTCAAGATAAGCCCCAGGTAATGTATACCAAAGAGCACAATGTTTGCATAAAGTTTGCTATGCCAATTGCACATGATTAGATGCATATAAAGCTTGAATCTGAAATCAAATTTTTGTTGAAATTTCTTTCCGGGATAGACAACGTTATAGAGAATATGCAATGGCATATGAAATTTTCCAGATAATGCGCTTAGAAAGTTAAGTCTTTTTTCATTGAATCCTGTTTGCTGGGTAATAATGAGTTAGAGAATATACGGATCTCATTTATTTGAATCAAGTGGTCGATAGTGATCAATTTATGACTCGGAATGCTAAAGCCCCACTACTCCGGATTTACTATTTTGCGTTTCATAGGAGAATAATTTAGAACGCCCCTTTTATATAATAATACCTTGTTCCATAACATTAAGGATTTGCTATGAATTCAAGGCAAGCTAAGAAGATAATCCAGGCATATTTTTTAATCAATTTTTTTATACTTTTCATACATTTATTATATGTAATAAACATATTATCCCGCCTAAAATCAATTTCTAAGGCTGCTAATAACCTTTGAAATTCTATGGAAATACTTGACAATACCTGAACACTCATCCATATAAGTCCTTACAAAGAATTTTCTGCAGAGCATGGCCACATCTGGCCAGGCTAATAATGGCTTGGTCTAAAATATCCTGATTTTTGTTTGTTAAAAAATAGGGAAACCTACTTTGAAAATAGAAGTGTTGAAACATCTTTTTATCGCTTTGCCAGTTGGTGGCTTGAATGAAGTCCTTAGAGTCCTTCTGCATGCATACAATATTGATTTAACATTGAATGGCTAAATTAATGAAGGTACATCATATATCATTGCAACAACCAGGCTAAATTATATACT